TTTGATTTATTAATTTATTTAATTTTTGTAAGTTTGTTTAATTTAATCTCAGTATTTTATAGTATGTTCATAGACTAATTTAATTTAATTATTTCATGTATTTTTATTATTATTATTATTATTATTCTGTGTTTGCTCACATCAACTCCAGCTGACGGACTGTTGTCCATGCCGTAAAGTATTTTGTAACATATTTTGAGTTTGTTGTATTCCATGTAAATAAATACTATTATTCATTCATTCATTCATTCACATACTTGTGACAGTCACGATAGTTCAAGTTGTTAGAGCAGTGGCGTATTGAGCCGAAGGTCGTGAGTTCGAATCCCGCTCGTGACACTAACTTTTTCATTTCAACCAAAACCTTGGTTGAAAAAACCTTGGTAATTTAGTCAATACACCACTAAATATAATGGAGTTAATTTATTAAGTTGCACTTTTCAAGCGTCTATTTTTGTAACGTCAATTAGTAAAGAAATTACAAGAAGAGAATGGTGGTGTTTAGTGGTGTGATCAACCAGCGAAAACAAGCAGACACAGGATTCCGGACAAATTTTTCGCATTCCGCGTAAAACTCGATATTTCGTTTATGCTTCACTTACACAGGGTAATTCACTACTCATACGACAAAAGTTTCCAAAAATTAAATTCTAGAAGGTGTTTCTTAGAAAAAATGTAACGCTCTTTTCAGTGTTTCTTTCTTTAAATTTACCCAAGTTCGTTTTGGCACGAAAAAATGGCTAACTTTGAAAACGCATATTTCTTCAGCCTTTTAAGACACAGATCTGCAACTTAGGTCTCATTTTTTAGACTATTTTACGCAGAAGAAGATGGCTTTTGTAAAATGTTTTCTAGCTCCAGTCATTCATCAGTGAATTCAAAAATCCGGGAACATGTTAATTTTTGCACTTTTTACGAAAACTTCAAATTGAGCTTTGGAGCCAGGAAATCGTCCTGGACCGGCGTACAGTGAGGCCAAAACGCCAAAAAAGCGGGAAAAAATTCAGTTACACCCGAGCTATTTGAGGTAAGCTACCCGAATTTTTTACATTTAGGTTTTTTGGTGTGCTGAATGTAATGAACTTTTTTCAAATCGATTGGACCACAGCAAACAGTCCAAAATAAACTCTATTAACCAGGATTTTTTTGGGAGGGATTAGTTTTGTTTATTTTTAAAGGGTGCCTGTGGATTTGGATAACATGAAAAAACAGAATTTTCCAAACAATTCTGCAATGTTTTAAGTAAAATTGCATAAAATAAATAAAAAATATAAAAAAACATTATCAGTATAATGCTTTTTTATGCTATAATTGATTCAAAAGAATTATTTGCCTATTTAACGGATTAAAATATCTTACCCAATGTTTGGGTGGTGTAAAATAGTGGTCGAAAATTAAAAAATAGAACAGACATATTTTGTCATATTTTTGGCATATTTTGACATATTTTGGTTCAACAATCACCACGGACATATTTTTCTATACGCTGAATTCAATGGAACTGTTCTCGAATCGTTTGGTTCACAGTATACCATCCAAATTTGTGGACGTTGGACGAAACACCTCAATTCAACAGCTTCCCAATGATCATCGTTCTAATTGTTTTATTTTATGTGTGGTGTTTAGTGACCGTTAGCCAATGATTATTTGGTGGTCGTGAGGTGCGGTCCGGTGTGACGTAGGTTTTAGAAAAACATTTGCTTTATCATGACAACGTTTCGATCTTTTTTCAAATCATCTTCAGAGTCTGGGATTTATAAACATTGTAGCTCATGTTAGAAAATTTTAGATTATATTTTTTGTATTTTTTATCTAAAATTTTCTAGCATTGTTTAAATTCCTTCTTTTTTAAATCTCAAATTTTCTAGCATTATGCATATTTTTAATCTCAAATTTTCTAGCATTCTATAAATTCATTCTTTTTTTAAATCTAAAATTTTCTAGCATTGTATGAATTCATTTTTTTGAATCTCATATTTTCTATCGTTGTATAAATTCATTCTTTTTTTACTAAAATTTTCTTGTGTTTTATAAATTTATTTTTTTATATGGAATTTTTTAGCATTGTGTAAATTCATTTTTCCCATTCATTTTACATCCTAGATATATTTGTAAAATTTAAACAATGTTTATAAATCCCAGGCCCTGAAGATGATCTCAATAAAAACGAAACGTTTGCACGATAAAGAAAATGTTTTTCTAAAACCTACGTCACACCAGTACGTATTGAAACAATAGGTTCATATATGACAAAATCGTGACAGAGAGTGATCCTTTTTTTCCATGACCACTTAAAAAACACGTTTTTTTATCGAAAATTTGCGAATAACTCGAAAACGGTATCGAAGTCTGGCAAAGTGGAAGGTGACCAATTGGAAGCTTATTCAAATTTACTATCGATTGCTGAAGGGCGCCGCTCCAGGACGATTTCCCGGCTCCACAGCTCATTTTGAAGTTTTCGTAAAAAGTACAAAAATTAACATATGTCCGATTTTTGAATTTACTGATGAATGACTGAAACTAGGAAAACATTTAAAAAGAAAACATCTTATTCAGCGTAAAATTGGCAAAAAACGAGATCTAGTGCAGGGGTGTTAATTAAAAATCTGAGAAAACATGCTTTTCTAAAGTTGGCAATTTTTTCGTACAAAAACTATGGGGTCGATTTTTGATGGGCAGTGGAGTTCAAGAGCTATGAGTAGTTCAACTGTTAATTCCAAGGAATGCATATTAGTGTATCTCTAATTTAATTAATTATTATTTTTATGTAAGGTAAAGATGAAAAAGTTAGTGTCACGAGCGGGATTCGAACCCACGACTTCGGGTCAATACGCCGCTGCTCTGACTTCAGCTATCGTGACTTCGATCCTCCTTTGAATTTTACCTCTTTTTCCATTTTTTCTTTCGTGCCTGAGTGAATCGAAGGATAACCCAAGTGGTTAGAGCTGCGGCGTATGGAGCCGAAGGTCATGGGTTCGAATCCGGCACGTGACACTAACTTTTAAACTCGGTTAAAAAAAAGTTGGTCATTCTCCTTAAACTTAAAAGAATCCCATCACTCCTTCTTACTTTATCCTGAAATAGCTGAATCAGGTGCAGACCTCTAGTCAGATATACTAATGCAAGGCGGTCCCACAAGGTTGTCTTAGTCCTAACCTGCGTATCATTTATAATGCTAACTCCGCTATATTCCAACTCCATCATTACTACCTACTCGGATAATAAAGCGATTTTGTCTTCTTACCTGAAAGAGTACAATAAGCCTGTCTGCAGTGCCAGAGGAGCGTAAATCCTCACTTCGTAGTATACGGTTTCTAACCTAAATCATATTTAAGCAACGCCCAACATCAAGAACACCTCGAGTTTATAAAAAACTGGTGTAAAATATGTAGGTCACGACTGAGTACACAGTGAACATTTGCATTTAAAAAATTTTGCCGTCTACTGTACATCAACAAGGAGCTATCGACGAGCACTCAAGTCAGATACTTAGGACATGTCTAGGCAGCAGTCGAGTAATTTTCCTAGAAGACATGAACTACTATGAAGTTTTCCTCATAGAAATCTGTTTTGACAGTTAAAACTCAACTAACTTGATACAAGTCTTAAGACTACTTTGGGCATAGGAAGTAGAATTTTGCGGCTTGTCAGACAAATAAAAGATTCTTACTAAGTTTCTAAACCGAATCCATGACGACCTCAACATTCATGTTCAGTTCTCAACATTGAGAATGATTTCAATTAATTAATCTTTATGTAAGGCACTAGTTGAAATAAAAAAGTCAGTGTCACCAGCGGGATTCGAACCCACGACCTTCGGCTCAATACGCCGCTGCTCTAACCACCTGAGCTTCGATCCACTCGGACACCAACCTCTCATCTCAACCTAACCTTTCGAATTTGCCCTTATTTCTTTCGTGTCCGAGTGAACCGAAGTTGTTAGAATATTGATCCTAAGGTTCGAATACCGCTCGTTTTATTCGCTTTTTTATTTCAATCAGTATCTTATATAAAGATTAATTAATTGAAATAAATAAGTTGGTTAAGTAGACCACTAAACATAAATATTTAATTAAAGATTAACTTAAGGCACATTGATAGTATTTATCACAATTACCACGAGTGTATGAAAATCTGATCGATCCCGTGAATCATACGATACCCGTGATACCAGATCATACGACGTTCAAGGAAATATCCCCCGGGAGGGAATAAAGGGCGATAGGCATATACGAACAGTGACACCTCCTTTAACAAAAACAGATAGAGATAAATAGAAGGGGACGAGAAAAAAAATAAGAGACTTTTTACGTTTGGCGGAGCAAAGCTAAAGATTCAACGGACATTTTATTTACCTTAACCCTTATGATGTATTATTCCCTTGGTCGTGAGACGTCCTCTTTTATTAGGCTGTTTGAATATTCATGCACACCTTTCTGATTCCCCTTTGATGTGTAAACTGTTAACGAAATTCGGCCCATGTCAAGGACTTCTTTCTGAAATGATGAAATCCGGATGGTGCGAGGGATGGAATTATAACGTAAAATGGACGATAGTTGAAATTCATCGTGAGAAATTATCGACAAAACGAATCCCTTTTCTTTTTAAAAGATGACTTTCAAATATTACTCAAGGTAATTAATAAATTTATTATGTTTCTTCAATTGTTACGATTTTCCCTGTAATTTCATCCCCTAGATCTTTCAGAACGGACGATTTCAACACTGTGGTTTGGGCGCTCATCCAGACTGAACAACAATTTTATAAAGATAGTATTAAATGAAATACTTGAAAATGAGGGAATAAATAAACACTTATCCTGGTTAATCTATTAAAACAGGAAGCGAACCTTGCTAACAAAAAACTGACAATTTGATTTCTTTAGTTTTCATAAAATTGCTACTTTTTAACTTTAACCAACTGGTCTATGTGAAATTACAGAATTAACAACACAAATAATTTGAAATGGTATAACTCGATTGTATTTAAACGATTCGTACCTGTCATGACGTTGCTGACTAGTGTGAAGGGCAGACAGATGACGTTGACCAGGAGATCCGCGCAGGCTAGATTCGCGATGAAGAGGTTGGTCGGAGAGCGCATTCTGGGGCTCCGGTAGACAACGCTGACGACGAAGACGTTCCCGGTAACGCCTATGACGAAGACGGACGTGTAAGCGATGCAGAAGAAGACCGTGACCGGAAAGGAGTAGCGGAACTCGTAGATGGCCCCTTCTGCGCAGACTGAGCCGTTCACACCGAGGCACGTCGTCTTGTTTATACCGGTTCTGGAAAAAAATGGCATACATCATTGGAAACAAAAGTTTTACAGTTTTGAATCTATTGGATAAGTCGTCTAACCGAATTTATTTGTCAGATAAGCGTTAGACTGAGCATTTGATTACATTCACTTTTCAGACTACATCTCAGTTTTCGATAATTAAAGCTAGTGTGTTCAGGGTTCCATGAGCACAACGCCAACTGCGGCCCTGGAGCTTTTTTTAAACCTCCCACCACTTCACATTTTAATCCAAGGAGAAGCCAGAACAGCAGCCCACAGAATCATAACAACCATCTGCTAGGATAGGCTATGTGAATAAACAATGGAAACTGAGGAAGGAGATATAGGCAGATGCTAGTTATGTCAACTGATGCCAAAGTACAACTTCACCAAGAAGTACGAAGTACTGATACCAGACCGGGAAGAATGGGCCAAGGGAACACCACTAAAAGCAAAGTCCTACTGGTATACTGACGGCTCCAAAACCGACAAGGTACGGGAGCTGGGGTCTTTGGGATGAACCCCAAGACCGAACTGACGGTAAACCTAGGCAAGTACGCTACAGGTTTCCAGTCTGAAATCATAGCGATTGAACAATGGGCCAAAGAAATAAAAATACTAGGAAAGGCTGCTCCATCCTCGTTATTCATTTTGCTACCATCGGTGTATATTTCGATTTTGTCTTGCCACGATACTGACTCTGTTAGTTCTTGAGTTCTACAAGCCGGATGGGACCATTCATTTTCATTCAGTGTGGGTTCCAAGATAAGTGCAGGGAGGGCTTTTTTATTGGATGATGTTTTTATGGTGAAGTAGAAATCGGTTAGTTCCCCAGTTTAAGTTCAATCGGGGCTACCCCTGCCATCATGCAATCTGCTTCATACGAAATTGTGCTATATCCTTTGACTATTCGTAGAGCGATTTTTCTTTGTACATCTTCAAGTTTTTTCTTATTGTCTATAGCTTTAATCCAGACTAGTGCTGCGTACTTCAATAATGGTAGTATGGATCCAGAATAGATGATTTAAAGTGCCTCGGATCCTTTGCCGAACGTGCAAGCATATCGATGAGTTGCAATGCTTTTTGGCTAATATAGTCGACCTGTTTCTTCCAGATAAACTTGCTATCAAAAATTAAAAAATTGGTAAACAATCGTATGACCTCTTGGAGTTTGGTTCTCTTTAACTGTAGCAGTGAGTTGGCCTACCTTGGCGAGGGTTGTTTTAGCATAAATTTACTGAGCCTTGCGTTCCTAGAGTTTATCCACTTTTAGGTTCAGGGCGTATACGTGGTTTTGCAGATCCTCCTGAGGCCAGTGTGTATGCCTTGTCGTTACCCAAAATTCCTTTCTGTACTGGTAGCCAAATCAGGTTGTTATATTCCCAGGTTTTGACAATTTAGGAAGCATTCCATGTCTAATTTTGATGTAATTTTTTACATGTTAATGCTTTAATAATTAAATTCACTAATTTCGTGGTCCGCTTGACCAATTAGTATATTACAATTAATTAAGGTTTTTAGTTAAGATAAAAAAGTAAATGGCACGAGCGGGATTCGAACCCACGATCTTCGGGTAGATACGCCGCTGCTCAACCACTTGAGCTATCGTGACCTCGATCCACTCGGACACCAACTTCCCATCTCAACCGCACTTTTTGAATTTTCCCTCCTTTTTGCCATTTTTCAAGTGGGTCGAGGTCACGATAGCTCAAGTGGTAGAGCAGCGGCGTATGTAGCCGAAGATCGTGGGTTCGAATCCCGCTCGGGCCATTTACTTTTTTATCTCAACTAATAACCTTAATTAACAGCTGTAATAATTGCTTACTGGTGTTGATTTTTGTCTCTCATTTCTTTTAAATAATCTTTTGGAGGCCACGGGTTAGGCGTTCAACCCTGACGGTAAAGGTCCCGGGTTCGAATCCTGTATTCAAACCAGACATACTAATAGGCTTTTTTTTAAAAACACCGACACCCCGAGAATTCAAATAACCTCATAGTTAAAATACCTACGTAAAAAAATAAATAAAAATTCTCTTTTCTCCGTAAATCTTAAAAATTATAAAGTTTAGTTGAGTCTTCAGAGTGTGAAATAAAATTCAGTTCAAAAAAGACGATTGTCAATTGAGCTAATTTTTGTGCTGGTTTTTAACTCACTCAGGTTCAACTTGATTGGAGCTTTTCATTAAAATATAAAATTTATTCGTTTGAGTTATTCTAATTAAATTATGTTTAATCAATTTAATTGAACGTTTTATCGTTAACGAAACAGTTTTAACGCGACGCCATTTTAGTTAATATTTAACGATCTCTGTTCATTTACTTTAACCTTTTAAATTAATACGTTTATTTACAGACGGATCGTCAGTGTAAATGCTGATCGCATCCGAGAGTTGGCGGTGTGAATCCCGGCTATAAATATTCGATATACGCCCTTGTAATTTTTCATCATTTCGCCTTTCACACCAAAGGGGTAAAATTGACAAAAGGCGGATCATTTTTCGTCCGTAGGCCCTCTCCAATAAGACAATATTTCTTAAATAAATCAATCTACCCCCGAGTGGCCTGGAGGAGATAGGTCAGATTGATGGCTAAACAATTCCAGTGGGACAAATGGGTGCATAGGCGTCGTGGGAGGTCGCTAATCAGGAGGTGGCCACCTTATCTCCGACCCATCCTTCACTGACCTAACACCTCAAATCGTCCTACTCGGCCCTTCCGCGACCTACATTTGCCAACGGAAGCTATTTCTCACCCGGGGACTTAACTGAAAATTGCTTTTTTACACTGGGAAATTAGCGGTTTCTTAGTCCAAGTCTCGTTTGAAATCAATCCATCTAAATTCTTGGTCGGAGTAAAATTCAGACTATTTTTGAAGGTGTTCATAAACTGACGGCTTCGCTTTTAAAAAGTTGGAAGGGTGAGAAAAAACTTGATGATGGATGATGTGAACATCGACGGTCGATGCGACCTGAACGGTTCTCACGAAACTAACATCTTGGCTCTTCTTTTTATTTTTCAATTTGGCAATCGACCGAACATAAAAATCAAACAGTATCAAAACCCTCGTTTTAATTAAAACCACTGCTTTTTTATAAATACAAAATACAAACTTTAAAAAATTACTTAAAATCTTTAATAGTTGTCAACTAATTAAACATATTACCATGTTAACGACCTCAAAATTCTTATCGTCCGTGACCTGACCAAAAAATAAAAAAAGTAAAGGGACCACTCGTCGCTGGTTAGAAAAATTAATTCCGGTAATACGGTTTAGCTTATTGGGCAAATTAGGTAAGAAGTTGGAAAACAATGAAAGTAATTTATTGAAATTGTGAGGAGCGGTCAAGAATGAGGTAGTTTAGATAAACAACACCTTTATCATTTTTTTGCCGAAGTTTCGACCTTTATTCGGGCCATCTTCAGGGCATAAAGTGTGAAGCTATTCTTGTGGTGTCACATTGGTTTAATGGGATAGTGTAGTGATGTCGGTGTTTGGTTGTATTAGTGCGGCGTTTGTGAAGTTAAAGTATTTTTTATGTGAGTAGGAATACTTTATTTTGTCTACATTTTAGTAAGAAAATCCGTTGATTTGTAGCAGCTGATAGTTTCTTCTGGTTTCTTGCTATGTTTTTGAGTGTGACAGTAGTTTGATGTCCATGTTTGACGTGGGGTAGAAATGTGTGTTTCTTTAGTGACCTGTTCATATTTTGTTCATATTTTGTTGAAGTCTTGAGGAGTGAGAATGAGGTAGTTTAGAAAAACACTTTTTTCATATTTTACCGACGTTTCGACTTTTATTCGGGTCATCTTCAGGGCATAAAATGTGGTGCTAGTCTCTCGGTGTTACATTGGTTTTATGTGATAGTGTTATGATGTTGGTGTTTGGCGTTTGTGAAGTCAAAGTATTGTTTATGTGAGTAGGAAATACCTTCTTTTGTCTATACTTTAGTAAGAAAATCCGTTTATTTGTAGCAATTTCTAGTTTCCTCTGGTTTCTTGCCATGTTTTTGAGTGTGGCAGTGGTTTGATGTCCATGTTCGGTGATGATATGTTAGTTATAACCCATGTTAGTTCTGTTGGTCCTCTCGGGCAAAAATATGTTTCTTAGTGACCTGTTGTTCATAATTTGTTGAAGTCATGAGGAGCGGTCAAGAATGAGATAGTTTAGATAAACAACACATTTATCATTTTTTTGCCGAAGTTTCGACCTTTATTCGGGCCATGTTCAGGGCATAAAGTGTGGTGCCATTCTTGTGGTGTCACATTGGTTTTATGTGATAGTGTTGTTATTCGGTGTTTGGTTGCATTAGTGCGGCGTTTGTGAAGTCAAAGTATTGTTTATGTGAGGAGGAAATACCTTATTTTGTCTACACTTTAGTAAGAAAAACCGTTGATTTGTAGCAGCTGATAGTTTCCTCTGGTTTCTTGCTGTTTTTGAGTGTGACAGTGGTTTGATGTCCGTGTTTGATGGTGATATGTTAGTAAAAACCCAGCTTAGTTCTGTTGGTCTTCTCGGATTAAAATGTGAGTTTGTTAGTGACCTGTTGTTCATAATTTGTTGAAGTCGTGAGGAACGGTCAAGAATGATGTAGGTTAGAAAAACGCCTTTTTCATGTTTTTTCCGACGTTTCGACCTTTATTCGGGTCATCTTCAGGGCATAAAGTGTGATACTATTGTTGGGTGTCGTAATGGTTTTGCCCGAAAGTGTTGAGAATAACACTTTCACACAAAACCAATATGACACCACTAGAATAGCACCACACTCTACGCCCCGAAGATGACCCGAATAAAGGTCGAAACGTCGGCAAAAATAATGAAAGTGTTATAATTCTCATTTCGACCGTATTGTTCAATTCAAATGTACTTTGCGGGTAAGTGGAGGAATTTCTATTTATGTATACTCCAACAAGAGCAATTTTTTCACTTCAAAAATAGAAATTAATTCACGCGAAGTTAATGTAGTCCCTGTAAATAGCGTTGGTCACTTCGATAGATTTGTACTGCTG